CACGTAGTATGATTGAAACTCCAACCCCCCCCCTCCCCATTACCTAGCTTCAGGTGACTAGGCACACGGGAACCCACTCGATTCTCACAGCGATTTTGATTAAGATACGAAAGCGTGGCGCATTCCGAAAGAGTGCTCTTTATTTGGTCTCCTGCACGAAAATGGTCCTCCTCAAGATGTGTGAATGTACTATTAATTTAGAGAGTTATAAGCTGACCTCTCTATGAGTTCCATCCATATCGGCACATTCGATCTTGGCATGAAGACCAGCGTCAGCATAGCAAATTCGTCCCAGTGACGGCAAGGTCACAATGGCGGACGGCATTTGGAGATGACCTAAACGTGTTTCATTTAACCCACAGGACCATGTCCACGTTGGTGGCCCTGAGTGGGATGAAAGTCTTGTCTACGCTAGTCGCATGGACACAAGCATCCAACCACTGTGCCCTCCATCAAAAGAAGGGTAAGAGGGATGCACCAATGAAGAAGACGCTACTGTTGGATGCCACCGCCCACGCGACAAACATGGACTGGGCCTTACCTATTAAAAGCTTCGGTAAAAAATGCGACAAATTCTATTGTTTCAAGTCACGTTTGTCTTGCATGTTTTTGTTTATGTTCTTCTATACGAATTATCCCAACAATCCTGACTTCATGGACAAAATAGCGGACGGTCGGTTCTGGAACCCGCAACTCCCGTGTATACCGGGCGGCTTACGGGCAGTCGCGACGGGTAAGAGCGGCCCTGGTAGCGTAATGGAACGATTGCCTGTTAAGCTGGAGATGCGGGTTCGAGTCTCGTATTTGGTCTGACTTTTGCCCATAATTCAGCATTCTTGTGGCAGCAAACCATCATAATCGATAACAAGTCAAAAATGTGGTAAAAATAGCAAATAAGTAGATTGCTCTTCCGACGGACTATAAACCTACCGCCAATGATCTTCTTCAAGTATCGTCCATCGGACAAGGAAACATAGATGCCACCAGTGTTGGTGTTGTGGATCGCTTCACTCATTCGCTTCTTGCGTGATCCTGGGAATGCATTGACCGATTCCTCATTTGACACCGTTGTAATGAAGAGGTTTCTGAACAAAAAAGCGCGAAATGGAAGGATTGGTTAGAAGTGGGCAAAAACGTTAGGGTAGTCGATGTCATCAGTGAGAAAAGACCGCGTTCATACTTCACGTTTTGGTGATTCGTTCGCGTGACTACGGCTAACAGCGCTCTACGGCTAGTTGTTGCTCGCTAGGTATGAACGCAGGCTTCTGCGCGACGTTTATAACTCTGACATGACCGCATAGCCCTGCTTCCATAAAGATGCGATGCTGCTGATGCCTTGTTTGGTCAAACAATATCTTTCCATCCACATCTTAGCTGAGACTGGTACCTCTCGGGACACCTTTCACACTTACCCAGTCAAATAGTCTACGGCCAAGCTCGTTGGCGTGACGCCTATTGAGGCGAAATCGAGGTCGAGCTTCTGGCCGGCATGTGACTGATTGCCGTTTGGTTCTGAGGCTCTGAATATGAAGTTGCTGCCACCATCAAGCCACGTTGAGCTGCCACCATCAAGCCAGAACTGAAGTGCACGTCGGGCATCGAAGTCGATAGCAATGATATCGTTGTCGTCTTGCTCAGCCTGAAAATTAGGAGGTTGTGACGGAATACAGGGGCAGAATTATGAAACGCGCAATTCTGTGTTAATCATGTTAATCAATCTTTCAACCATTGACGCATTATCCTTATTATTATACAAGACTCCTTCATTACTGACCTTGTAAGCGGAGACACTGGCCACCTTATTGAGGCACGCAGGGGTTTTACAGGCATAGAAGGAGGGGTGCACAAAAGCTCTTGGCTCTGTTCATGTCTTCTCCCATACAGTTGCAAAATTTTTCTCACGTCATAGCCCACGATTGCCACCCATGTGCTAAGTAATCCAGTGGTAAAAATTAACATAAAAACCTCTAAAACGCTATGAGCAAAACCAGTGCTGGTATTCGGGAAGAGAAACTCAGCTAGATAAGAGAACGATATGGTGAAAGCACATAAATGTGAGACCCCATTACTATATTGCGATGGAGAAATGAAGCGGTAAAGGTAGAGGGGCGGAGAGCGCCCTCTCTGGCAAAGCCCTTGTCATCCTTGTCTAGAGGTCTAGGGCAAAAGTGGTATATCCTTCGCGACTGCGGCTCACGCTACCTTGTGCAAGGAGGGTTTCGCACGTCGTCAGTAGCGAACTCTGCT